GTAGGTCGGTGTTTTTTCTACGGGAACTTGGGCTTTCCTCCACCACCGAAACCTGGCACGTCTTTAAATGACCATAGCTGTTAATAGTACGTAAAACACAAACACACCAAAAAAATCATGTTGTTTATGAATTTTGTTGTTTATTTCAGACCTCGTCATGTGATGGCTACCCTGGAGGCCATTATTAATGAAGCAAAGGGGATTCCCGCCTACTTGCCAAATGTAACTGCTCTAAAAGATGCCCTAAGGAAAGCCAAGGACTGGACAGTGAGGGTGGAGAATGTGCAGGTAAACAGCATTTACATAGATGGAAATCATCTCAAACATAAGAATTGTGTTAATATCTTTTAGATTGTGGGTCAAATAAATCCAGGAGGTTATTTTGATGTCATATCTTTTATTTGTTTACCAGAATTCTGACTCGTACCCCTACCTGGACATCCTGGAGACGTTGGTCAACAAGGGCCGGCCCATCCCTGTCCGTCTGGACCAGCTACCACAGGTCGAGTCTCAGGTAGCTGCTGCCAAGTCCTGGAGGGAGAGGACTGCCAGAACATTCCTCAAAAAGAACTGTACCTACTCCCTCCTAGAGGTAGGTAACATTGTGTTTCAGCCCTGTAACGGTGAGTACCTGCTCTGTCTTTATACTTATAATAGACTGTCATTCATTAAGAGAGTAGGATTCTTGTCATTTAACAGACTCTCTAGTTCCATATCAATGAAAAAAATTAAAACCTACCACATGAATGTGATTCAGGTGTTGTCTCCCCGAGCTGACATCGGCATCTATAGTGGAGGTAAAAACAAAAAGAAAAAGTTCAAGGAGGGCGAGAAGGAAAAGAAGGATGTTGAAACCAATAACAACAACCTCGACATCAAGATAGAAGACCAGCGAGACCCAGCAGCTATTGTAAGTTCTCGCGTTGAAACCAGGCAGTATTAGTGTTATAGGTAAAACTTACTGTTAGTGTGTCTGTAGACACAGGTGCTATCCTTGCTTATCTCGGTAAAACAACTACACTTGTATTACCTATGTAGATATTTATATTTGTGGTAGGGAACTTAAATAAAGCAACAACAACAAAATGCCAGATTCAAGCCTTGACATTAATTCACTTCCTTTCATGGATTAAACTGCATGCTACAACTAATTCAAAGGAAAGATCTACAATTCTGTAACACCATTTGTGTTCCATGTGGATTTGATCCTTGGATGTCAGAGTCAGGTGGATTTAATACAAGAATATCATTGTTAACATATTGTGCTGTGCATTTCATTGAAGAAAAATTTCATTGAAGAAAAAGGATGTTGAGGTGTATTGTTAAATTTATAATAGTTTGATCCAATGATTTCTTGCCTTAAAATAGACTAAATTGTTGTTATTTTGTCAGGTGGCAGCATTTAAAGTGGCCGAGCAGAAGGAGGTGGACTGTATGTGTGAGCTGAGGGATAGGAATGTGAGCAAGATCAATCAGGAGGGGGAGGAAGTCAAGTACTGTGTGTGTCGGAAGGGAGCCTCAGGCTTCATGTTACAGTGTGAACTCTGCAAGGACTGGTTCCACGGTAAGTCACAAATATATAGAGGTTACAGTGTGAACCCTGCAAGGACTGGTTTCATGGTAAGTC